TAAGACTTTGAAAGACCAAACCTTATCATCCCTGTATTTCTAATTAAATAGTTTTTAAAAGTCACACCAGTTACCACCCCTTACTTCTGCCATATCTTCTTTATTTGCTTACTCGATCTATCACTATTATTCATTCTTCTTGGAACCTTTAAAAATTAGATCTTATAGTTTTTAGAGTTTACTGTCTCGTTGGGTTTCGTTTTATAATTTACAGAAGTCCCGTCAAACGTTGTCATTATACTCCTCTACGGCATGTCCACTGTCTTTTCTCATTGGGATTTTGAAAATCGAACATAATTATTGTTCGAGTTCATTTTTTACTTTCGAAGTCCCGCCAAATTATCAGCGGCTTTACCATTGTACTCCTCTATGACTCGCCCGCTGCTTCTCTTCTTTATTGTCATTAAAATTTTAAAGTTGAACATGATTATCATTGTTTTTTTTTACTTATTAGAAGTTTCGAACCTTTAAAAAGCGGACCTTGTAGTTTTTAGAGTTTATTATATAGTTGGGTTTTATTTTTTTTATAATTTTTAGAAGTCCCGTCGAATGATGCCACTATACTCCTCTACGGCCTATTCGTCACCTACTCTTTATTATCATTGGGATTCTAACAATCGAACATAACTATCGTTGGAATTCATTTTTTATTTTCTAGAAGTTCCGCAACCGTCGGCGGCTCTGCAACTCCTATACACCCCGCCTGTTGCTTCTCCATTTTATTGTCATTAAGATTTTAAAAATCAAATATGATTAACAATGGGTTTTTTTTTTTTTACTTTCCAAAAGTCCCAGCAACCGTCTTGCCCGTTTGCTTCATGCCTACCTGTCGTCCCTCCTTTTAATCGTCATTAGAATTCTATTTGGTGTTTTATTAACAGTTTTTATATATCGTATCAACTGTCACAACTCTACTCATTTATAGGCCTGTTATATAATTTATCTCGTTATGTGTTTTAGATGGTATTTTCTTTCAACAGTTTTTTATCACCAATTTTAGTTATTTATAAATTGTATTTCTAACTGAAATCTTTTTTCTTTTTCTAATTTCAGAATTTATTTTTTTTAAAAAAATAATTAATACCGTATAATGTTCTTTAAATATTTCTATTTTTTATTTTTGAATTTCAGTTGTTTCAAAATTGTATTCCTACTTAAACTATCTTTTAGTTTTTCTAATTTTGGATATTATTTTATTTTTTTATTCTGAATTTTAATTAATCTCGTATTGGATTTTTATATGGATTCTTTTTTCAATATTGTTTATTTTTAATTCCGAATTTTAGTTAATTTTAAATTGTATTCCTACTTGAACTTTTCTTTTCTTTTTGCTAATTTTGGATTTATTTTTATTTTATTCTGAATATTTATTAATCTCGTATTGGGTTATTATGTGGACTTTTCTCTCAATATTTCTTATTTTTAATTTCGAATTTCAGTTATTTCTAAATTGTATTCCTTCTTGGACTCACCTTTTCTTTTCTAATTTCAGATTTTATTTTATTTTTATTTCGAATTTGGATTAATCTCGTATTGGGTTCTTATATGGATACTTCTTTCAATATAGCTTATTTTTAATTCCGAATTTCAACTATTTTTAGATTGTATTTCTACTTGGACTCTTCTTTTCTTTTTTTTCTTTTTCTCTGATTAATGTGGAAATTTCTAGCCCCCACAGCGAACGTGGTGCCTTCTTTCAAAGTTGTTTTAATAATATAATAGATAAGACCATGCATATATAATGCATGTCGATTGTTTAACAAGGCAAAGAGCCTACTAAGCTGGCATAGATCACACATTTCGGAGCATTCTCACTTGTCAATATTAGTAGGGGTGAGCTCTACGCAGCGACAGATGCATATTTAAAATACAGATGAGACTACATCCAGTAAAAAGCTAGCCCTAATTATATAATGGCACAACGCACATAAACAATAGTCACTGGCTCGCATTAGGTTAACAACAAAAATTGAGCAAGTTAACAATGAAGATTAGCAGTCAAACAAACGTCATAATCAGATAGGTGAGGCATTAGGTATAGTCACGAAGATGAGGGACAATGGATGCCTCATGCCATGAAATAGGGACGAAAATGATTGAACACAAAATCATTTATTTAAAAACAAATATATTTTAAAAAGTCTATTTCACTCTCCTAGACTATTTCATTTGATCACTTAACTCCTAAAATATATTTTGCTCATTTTTCCCATAAACTATTGAAAATGGTCCGCTTTGCTACTTAATAGCATTTATCTTCTTTGTTTCTCTTTATACGAGTCATATTTTAAGCATAAATTTTCTAAGCCCAACTATTGAAAATGGTCTGCTTTGCTATTTAATAGCATTTCTCTTCTTTGTTTCTCTTTATACGAGTCATATTTTAAGCATAAATTTTCTAATCCATAAATGACACATAATCAAAGTATCAAAATAAGTGCTTCGAAACATATGTATATAGTGATAAAAAAAATATTACTAAAATGTTAAGAGGTAGATTATAATGGATCTATCAATCCTAACAAATTTATGTACAAATACAACTTATTTATGACTTATACGTAGACAGAGATATATAAAAAGAGAGAAATGTTGTTAGTCTGTAAAGAAAAAAAATGGAGGGTGGGGTGAGGTGCTGAGTGCTTTGACAAAATAGTTCATGGGAGTAAAGTGGAATTTTTTTATATATTTACCAATTTAACTATTTACTCTGTAGATTAATATGTGCTAAAGAAATAGAAAAAAATAAATTTTATGTATGGCCAAGATGAGAAATGGTCAAAACAGTATTACTTATACAGAAATAATACTCATTCAACCACGGATTTTTATAATTATTTTTATTCATACTTAAAATATTTAATTTATCTAATTATTTAATAGAAGACTGATGTCTAATATGTTGGAAACATGACTAAAATAAGGTTTAGGGTGTAGGACAACATGGACCCTAGCTGGGCCAGCTTAGGTGGGTCTACCACTAGCTCCATATGGCGGTCATGTCTAGGCTCCATGTAGGCTTCTATAGTATACATTCTTACATTCTGAATTTTGCATTTCAGTTATATCGCCCACTATATATAAGTTAGAATAATGCGTATTTTAGAATGTGCATTTCATAATTTTTTTTCTAACCATTCGATTGAATATATCGAAATGCATGTAGTTAATTAGCTTTGTTTAAATCATCTCTAACAAAAAGCAGTATATAAACTGGCGACAACTACAGAGAAGGAAATTCATGTTGAATATATAAACACATATTGATTTAATTCATTTTATAAATAAATCATGACATTGAACATATAAATTAGTAGAACCAAACCATGCGATTAAGACATGTAAACTAAGCAATAAACTATAAGCATATCAAATAGATGGAATATGGTGAACACATACTGAGGGTTCTAGTTCTGCTGTGGATCAGGTTGACGAGGAGCAGCACGCACCGCAGGAGCAACGTGCAGTGCAAGGTGTTGTCGTCGGCACGCAGCCCTCGAGCGTAGAGGAAGACGAGTCGTCGTGGAAGACCAGCAAGCAGTCGCGCGAAGCGTTTTCAAAAACCTTATTGTCGCTTTCTCCTGGTGCAGGACGTTGATGATGAAGGTTCCGGAGATCTGATCTCCCGATCACCGATGCACGCCGATGAGCTGAACAAAGTAGATTACAAGCGATTACGCAGTACACAAGAGGAGTCAAACCTTAGATTGATTTCGCGTGTATTGTGAGGAGACGATGGCTCAGTTTATTTAGAGATATCAGGACACATGCACGATCTCCACACTGCGTAAATCGAACCAGATAAGTCACACTAACTTATCCACACTTCATGCCGATCCACGCTCCCATTACATAACTTATCCGCACTCTATGCCGCTCCACGCACCCTGCACGTAACTTATTCTCACTCTACGCCACTCTACGCACCCTGCAAAAGGAAATCGCGTCCGCACAAGCATGATGAGCCCATTTTGATGGACCATTCACGTGCATGTGGTGTACGCGCTTCTCTCCATGCACGTAACTTATCCACACTTTACGTTGCATCTGCACAAGCACGAGGAGCCCATTTTGATGGACCATTTACGCGCATCCCGCATCTGCGCAAGCACGAGGAGCACATTTTGATGGACCATTCACGCCCATGCCGCATCTGCGCAAGCATGAGGAGCACATTTTGATGGACCATTCACGTACCGCATATGTGTACCGCCCTAGCCAGGCGAGACGAGCGAGCACGTTTGTTACTTTAGTTCTCTCCACCACACGTCTTAAGTGGCTAAGAGAGCACTCTCCCATTTAAGAAGATCTTACTCTTTTAGAATAGATAAGATGGTACTAAATATTCGCATGCATTTCTTCTCATGATGTGGGTTTGTGTTTTTTTTAAGAAGATAATTTTCATATGGTCTTAGTCCACGTATTAATTCCAACAATTCAAACACATAGGATAGGTGTGCCATGGATGAATCCACTTGAGATGTACCATTACTATTTCCATTAGTGAAATCGTAACACAGGTGTATGTTAAGTTATCGCTTGTGAACATATATGTTTTATCGATCCATATATGCATCACTGAACCATAATGCATGCATGCATGCTTTTTTGTTCACACAAGGTAGAGCCTAGCTAGCTATTCGGGGGTGGCCTTGATCACACCTTGAAACGTTCCAGCTGTCTATACAGTAGGAGGATGGCCCCCATGCTTCCTGCGTGTGTCTGTACCAGCATTTTAACTCCTGTAGTCATGTACACTTTTACAATATTCGTGAAATATACCTGAGAAAGTTTGGATTTGCACATAACATTATAAAAAATATTAGTGTCATACCATATCACGTTCCTGATGAAGTTGCACGGGATGTTTTATGCTAGTATTTCATCACATTACCAAATCTGTAACAATTAGTATATTATCTCATGGGCTCATGGCAATGCAATTTGCTCACCTCAATTTATAAATTTGAGAGCATCCAAGTCGTGATATTCTCCTCTCTGTGGAGCCGTCGCGCGTACAAATATTAGTCCTTCCACGAGCTTCATGGTGTGATGTGGCAGCTTTTCTCGCAAACGTATCACTGAAAAAAGTACTTAACAAAGTTGTACTACCACAGTACCACCTGCAAATTGTAAGGACTGTTTCAGTTTAAATTTCCGTAGAAAGCAATTTCACGAGAGACGGAGTGAGATTTGCGCAAAACCAAACCAGGGTGAAACCGGCGGCAGCACCCAGTCCGCCATCGCTCGGCAGCTGTTTCCCCAATCCGCCCCACCCCCGGGTTGGGATCTTCTGCGCGCAACCACACGCCTAAACCGCTAAACGTGAGGCCCGTGGTGGGCGGGGAGGGGAGGGGACAGGAAACGGCCGGGCGCACGGGATCCGTGGGTGGTTTTGCCCCCCCCCCCTCCGGGTCTGTGTGCTCTCTTCCCACCGCTGGTGCGGCGCAAAACCGACTACTCCCGCTGCTGCCGCGCGCGCCCAGCAACCCAGCCAGCCGCACGGTTCCGCCACGCGAAACCGGCGGCCGCCTCCTCGTCACGCACCCACAAACTCTCTCTCTCTCCGGTCTCCGGCTTTTTATTCCGCCCCCGCCTCGCTCGCTGCTGTTTTCTTCTCACCGGAGCAGTAGCCTCTACTACTACGCGCTTGCGAACTTGACGAGACGAGTAGTGTGTGTGTTTGACGAGTGGTTTTGGAGATGGAGAGAGGGGATGGTGGTGGAGGAGGAGGAGGAGGGGGAGGGGGGATGGGGCCGAGGGGGGTGGTGGGGTCGGCGGCAATGCTGGGGCTGGAGATGCACCTCGCCCACCCGCAGATGCACGCCGCCGCGTACCAGCAGCCGGACCCCCACGGCGGCGGCGGCGGCGGGTTCCAGCAGCAGGTGGCGGCGGTGAGGCAGCAGCAGCAGCAGTCGTACTCGCCCTACTCGGCGGGGGCGTCGTCGAGGGTGATCAAGGCGCCCGGCCATGACGATGGGATGGGCAACGGCGCCGGTAAGGGCGGCGTGGTGCAGCAGCAGCAGCAGCCCGGGTCGGTGGGGTGCCCGTGGACGCGGATGAAGTGGACGGACGGGATGGTGCGGCTGCTGATCAACGTCGTGTACAGCGTCGGGGACGACGGCGATGGCGTGGCGGCGGGCGGCGCCGCGGGTGGGAAGGCGTCCGCGGGGGCGGCGGGGCACGGGAAGGCCGGCGGGTCCGGGTCCCACGGCGCGCACGGGCAGGCGGCGGCGCAGCAGAAGAAGGGCAAGTGGAAGTCGGTGTCGCGGGCGATGATGGAGAGCGGCCACATGGTGTCGCCGCAGCAGTGCGAGGACAAGTTCAACGACCTCAACAAGCGGTACAAGCGCGTCGTCGACCTGCTCGGCCGCGGCAAGGCGTGCAAGGTCGTCGAGAACCACGCGCTGCTCGACGCCATGGACGAGCTCACCCACAAGGCCAAGGACGAGGCGCGCAAGCTGCTCAGCTCCAAGCACCTCTTCTTCCGCGAGATGTGCGCCTACCACAACTCTGGCGCGGCCGCCGCCGCCGCCGCGCACGGCCCGCACGGCGCCGGCGCCGCCGGCGTCGAGGCCACCGCCTGCTTCCACCACCCGCCGCCCGCGTCCATGGCCGCCGCCTCGTCCGCCGCGCGCCAGGCGGCGGCGGCGGCCCCTTCCCTTGGGATGAAGGACTCCTCCGCGGGCCCGGAGGACGACGAGGACGACAGCGAGGACGTCCCCAGCAGCAACGAGGTCGATGACGAGGACGATGACGACGACGACGACGACGACGAGGTGGGCCCAGGGATGAAGTCCCGCCGGATCTACGGCGGCCACCGCGTCCACCACCACCACCACCACCACAACGGCCACCACAAGCGCCGCCGTGGCGACGACGTGTCGTCGGCGGGCGCGGGGGACGACGACGACGAGGACGGCGTGAAGCGCGCGAGGGGGGCGGCCTCGGCCGCGGGGGGAGGCGACGACGAAGGCCCCTCCGCGGTGCAGCAGCTGCAGAGCGAGCTGGCGGCTGCGGTGGCCGGCGGCGGCGACCCGCAGCAGGTGCGGCAGTGGGTACGGCGGCGCACGGTGGAGGTGGAGGAGCAGCAGGTGGCGCACGAGGTGCGCGCGTACCACCTGGAGCGGCAGCGGCTCAAGTGGGAGCGGTTCCGCGCCAACAAGGAGCGCGACATGGAGCGCGCCCGGCTGCGCAACGACCGCCTCCGCATCGACGGCCGCCGCATGCTCCTCCTCCTCCGCCAGAAGGACCTCGACTTCGACATCGCCGAGGCAAACTCCTCCTCCGTCGACCACCTCACCTCGTCCGCCCCGCCGCCCCTCGCCGCGCTCCAGCAGCAGCAGCAGCCGCTCGGCTCCAGCCCCTCCACCGCCGGCGGCCACCCCAACTAAAGGCAAGCGGCGGCGGCGGCGGCAACTTGCCATTCCTAGTAATCAGCTCCCCTTTTAAGAAAAAAAAAGTTTTAGTAGTAGCTGGAGTAGCATGCAACCGTGGTAGTGCGGTCCTTAGATTTCCTATTGGAGTACTCGTATTGGGTGTGCGTCTTGCGTTATCACTACATTATGCTATGGTTTTGTGTAAGATCAGACTCGGTACATTTGGTTGGGCCTCGATCTCTTCTTTCATGAACAAGGGTAGCAGCAGTAGATTTGCCTTAGCTAGGGAGGAGTGAGATTTGTGAGATTCGGTTATTATAATTATGTGAATTATTACTGCAATATTGTGCTGCCAATTTGTGTTCTTAGAGCATATGATAAGTATTTTCTAGCATCTTCATATAGGGTAAGCAAAACCGGTAATGAATTAGAGTACTTGTACCATGTCAATTGCTTACTGCTCGATCCTCATGCACGATTGGCATGATTCGTTCACCTGATCTTACATCCATTCTGAAATAATTATACTGCATTCCCTTCTTAATCCAATATTCATGCCATTCTAAAATGATTTCCCTTTCCATTTTGAACCCAATTGTCTTGCCATTCTGAAAAACTATATGTTGTTCATGTCATTTCTGAATGCCCATATGTATTCCTATAAATATATACTCACAACAATTATATATGCAAAGTCTGCACAAACGGAACTTTTGAATTATATTCATATTCATTTTATAACCTATATAGTTTAAACAGGGAAATGGGAGGACAAAAAATATTCTAACTTGAAACACAACTGAGTTCTAAAATATATTTATCAAGATATGCAATTTTAGATGAAATTTCAAGTACTCAAAACAAAGACACACTCGTATGTATGTATATATATATATATATATATATATATATATATATATATATATATATATATATATATTTAGATGAAATTTCAAGTACTCAAAACAAAGACACACTCGTATATATATATATATATATATATATATATATATATATATATATATATATAATTTGTTAGTTTAAAAGCACAATCCGTACACTTGTATTTCAAATCACTTTACCATAGTTCATAATCTACATTTGCATTTCAAGAATTCGGTATATATTTGAGCAGCTTAATTAAGGTTCAGAAGTGAATTTCATTGTTTGAATTTACCGCATTCTCTCTTCATAAAAATTGAATCTTGAATTTGTAAAATACACTGATCGACAATCAAGATATTTTAAAATTAAAAAAAATGTGATGTACTTTAATCTGAAACATGTAAAGCCTGGCTAAAACGAAATCTACAATATGTATATACTTGAAACAAATAATAGAAGAGAGAGACCAAACTAGAGGTTAATTAATCGATCTGATGTATACATCTATATGTCCGTGGAGAAGATATTAAGCCCTAGCTAAAGTAATGTTAAATGGTAACCTGAGTATATGTGATCAGCTAGCTAAATGGGTAATCTTTGATCATGCTCCACTGGTATTATCAAAGTAAAAGCTTTAATTTTCTGGAGGATTAAAGTATATCACACAGCTTAGCATCACATAACCAGACATGCATTTCACTTCAAATTTAATTTACTCTTTTAAAAACCCTATTACTTATACTGCCTGGTACATTATAATTATATTAGATTCAGACATTCAGTGCATGCATCCATTCAGTGCGGGTGTGATGAGCGATATGTTGCTTCTTGCAGCTGATTAACCTGGCAACAATTAATCCATTTAGAGATTAAAAAAAATAATGGACGTCCATGGAATCACAGACTCACAATGCAATTAACTGATCAGGGGTATCGTAAAAAAAAAACTAATACTTATATCAGTGCGGTAGTAGTCTAGTAGATTGATTCATCAGACATTCAGTGCATATGTATCCGTGAATTCATTGCAGATGATGTGAGATGTCGCCTGATCTTGCATCGATCTACTGCTAATAAAACTGAGAGTAATCCATTTGATAAACAAAAAATGGCCATACATGTAAAACGGCAAAATAATATATTGCTGGTGATATATATATATATATATATATATATATAATATATATATATATATATATATATATATATATATATATATATATATATATATATATTTGTGTCATTGTATGCTAGCTGTTAATGCAACCTGGTCGATCCGATAGCAGCAGCAGGCAGCCGGCAATAGAATAAATTACGTGTGATCGATCGAGGCTAATGTTGTGATCTACTCCTAGATCGACAGCGTAATGATGGATCATCAGCTGCATATACATACATACATACATACATACATATATATATATCACTGGTGGAGAAAAGGGCTTTAATCCTGGTTGGGAACCCCCTGTAGCCCCGGTTATGCAATCGGGACTACGAATCCAGGACTAAAATACCCATCTTTAGTCCCGGGTAAAATAACCGGGACTAAATATCCATCTTTAGTCCCGGTTGGTAACCAACCGGGACTAAAGATGGTGGGAGCAGTCTCGGTTGATTTTTTTTTCTCAAATCGATTTGCTCTCTAAATATCCCCGATCATATTCCCAAATCATCCCCAAATAAAAGTATCATCGCAGATCTGGAAAAGAATACATCACATATTGGAAAGAAATGCATCACAATTCACAATACATCACATCACAAAATCTTAAACAAAAAATACATCACAAATCCTAAAAGAAATACATCACAACTCTTAGATCAGATCCAATATCACATACATCACAGATCAAATCCAATGAATCACAGATTCAAAAAAAAATCGGCAGCAGAGAGGAAGGCGCCACCGGCCTCCCGACCACCGTCCTCGCGGCCTCCACGCCAGCTCGGCCGGCCGGCCGCCGCGCCAGCTCGCCCGCCCGGGCGCCGCGCCCGCCCGCCCGGCCGCCGCGCCCGCCCGCCTGCCGCACCCAGACGGCCGGCCGCCGCCGCTCCCGCCGGGCGCCGCTGCTCCTGCCCGGCCGCCGCTCAGAGAGGGGAAGGGGAGGAACGGGAGGGGAAAGGGTAGAGGAAGGGGATGAAGGGGGAGAGGAAGGGATGGAGAAGGAGTAATGAGAGGGGAGGAGATCGAGAGGAGTGCGCGCGGATAATATCTGAGTTGGTGGCGCGCGGTTCGGGGTACTCTTACTCCCGGTTGGTATAAAAAACCGGGACTAAAGATCTATTTTTAGTCCCGGTTGTTTATACCAACCGAGAGTAAAAATAATTGGGGTCTGTTTTGAACCCCATAACTTCTTGAACCGGGACTAAAAATGATCTTTAGTCACCAACCGGGACTAAAGATCAAAAAGTACCTCTCAACTTTTAAACCGGGACTAAAGATACTTTTTAGTCCCTGTTTTTATTAGACTATTGTGGAATTTGGCCGACCGACCAAAGATGATTTATCCACCAGTGTGTTATATATATATATATATATATATATATATATATATATATATGCATGCGCCCAATCTTGGCAGCAGCTTGAAATTAGTATCCATGAAGAATATATATGTCATGCGTGACGGATTAGCTTGCAGCTGGCACGTACATATGTATGTTGTATGTCAATATATGACACGGATCAATATCGATTGGCTGGTGGTTGATCCTTTGGTCGTTTATATATGCGTACGAACGAGAACGATGGACACACAGGAGATGAACATTATCGCTGAAAGGATAAACACAACTTCTCATCTCATGCACTACTAATTTATATCAAGATCGAGCAACACTTTACTGAACACCAAGCTATTTCCTCCGTCCTAAAATATAAACGATTTTAGATGAATGAGATATATTCCAGATTCGTACGGAGGGAGTAGCTATTAGCCCTGAGCGTAGGAGGAACGAAGTAATACAAAAAGACTGAACTGACCTTTACGTTATTTTCATGTACAGAAGATGAGCCAGCTGCATGCTTTTTGGACCAGAGCCAGAAACAGTGCGTGTATACATGTCATGCGAACAAATGCGTGTCCTTAGCTACACCATCCGTTTTGATATAGTTGTCAGTTCAGTTTATATTAAGATATAAAAGAAAAAACCTAAGTAACTATATTAAATACTTCCTCCGTTCCAGAATATAAGGATTTTTAAGGTTGCATACGGGTATTAAATAGGAGAAAATATGTAGAATTAAATCGGAGAAGGTTATTGACGGAGCGTGGGGCTCCTCACCGGGAGACCGCGCAGGCCCCCCTTTGCCGGTTCGGCCGGGGGCCCTGGGTGAGATTCTAAGCTCCTAGTCTGTGTGTGAAAGGTTCGCGAGAGTGGAAACACACAAGACACGGGCGATGTATACAGGTTCGGGCCGCTGAGAAGCGTAATACCCTACTCCTGTGTTTTGGTGGATCTGTGTATGAAGAAGCTACAAAGTGCGAGCCAGCCCCCAATCGTTCTGGGATCGTTTTTCCTTTCTTCTCCCCCCTCTAAGTGGGCAAGGTCCTCCTTTTATATCTTAAGGGGATACCACATGCACCATCTCTCTCTCTTTCTTTTGTGTGGGGACTCATCCTCTCTTCCCTCCAACTTGACTTCTCTTCATTAATGGACGGAGATTTGTATGGCTGCCGTCCGAATGACCTTCTGATGGGACGGCCCATACCTACCTCCACTTCCGCCGGAAGCAGGCGCGACGTGGGAACATGGCTGTCTGCTGACGACATGACCATTGTCAGACCGGTCACAAATCGGTCATTCTTGTCCACCACGTGTCAGTTTAACAATCTGCATGTTCGCCCTTCTTCATACAATATCTTGCCTGTAATGGTTAGGATGAAGCCTGGCATATATCTGACCGGAACCAACGTGCCATCTCCAGGAGCTAACACGCCGGCTCCGGCTAGGGACGAGTGCTTGGAGGCTCTCATCCTGACGGAATGGGGCGAGGCGTGCGTCAGACCGCCTGTCGCCACCTAACCCACGATCTGATCGGTCTGTGACTGGTCACAGACCGGATAAACGAGTGCGCTGCACTGCGTTACATGCGGCGTGACGCGCTCGTCCAAACCGCAATAAATGTGGTTAGGTGAGCCCCGCTATGCTCACCTACCCCATACACGCGGCGCAAAACCCACAAGGGGTCGGGGCGCCTCGGCCCTCGGGGCCGAGACGGGAGCGGTCCGACCCCTCGGGGAGACAAAGAGAAGGGCGGCCGTATCACCCTCGGGCCCGACCCCCCCCCCCCGAGGGGGTTAGGCCACGTGGGTGATAGTGTCTGCCTCAAGTCTCTAAGTCATGATACTCCCGGTCCCATGTCACCGACAGTAGCCCCCGGCGTTATGCCAGGGCGATCGCCCTCCTCGAGGGAAGCGGTCGGGCGTGACGCCACTTCCTAAGGCCTGGTGACAGGTGGGGCCGGTCTAAAAATCGGGACAAGCCAGTTCGTTTTTCCTGGAGATATGGTGATGGCGCTTTGGTCGGCGAGCGTAATTAACGCGCGCACGAGATGT